TACCAATACTACTAATAATAATAACGCAAACATTTCGCACTACTATTACAGTTTCGGTCAAACTCTTTTTAAAATTGCTTTTGTAAAAACAGATATACAGACTTTGGGGCCTGATGCTCAGGACAAGAGAAAAGACACAGATCTCGTTTCACCGTGGAGAAAAAATAAATATGTCACATTTTCTGTCAGCGACTAAAGGAGACGAGCAAATGATGGAGGTTCATGATCCGCCAGAGGGAAGCGTCTGTCTGCACAGAGCAGGCCTGAAGTCAACCTGCGGCTCCGGGACACGGAGCTTTGCAAAGGTCACCGCTGCGCATTTGACTTTTAACTCTGGATATGAGGTTGCACAACTGGATTATGACGCAAGGAAAACTACAGAAAAGGTGGAAACACATTTCAAATGAGGATTTAGAGGATGGTAAAATAAAAAATATAATATATCAGTGTGAAATATATAAAATATAAAACTAATTACTGAAAAACTTTGGATTAACAGATTTGATTGACACAAAATGTGATGTTTTTTTCCACTGCCATGGCTTAGCTTCTACGGTTTGAGTGAGACTAGAAAAGTGCTTTATAAATACAGACCAATTTAACATTTCTGACGCACAGGACAACCAGGATGAAAATAGTGCAGGCTATTTGGTTTGAGCTGAACACCAAAACCAAAGCAGAGAAACACAAGGAAACACATCTTTTGTTAAAATTCATGCAGCTGTATTCTGTGCAGCTTTTATTTGGACAAATGTCCTGCTTTATGCGCGTAAAAGCTTGTGCGTAAAGTTATAGCAAAGCGAACAAGTAAATATTCTGCTTGCGCGCGTGTGTCGGAGTGGGGGTGGTGTTGAATCCCCTGTGGGAGGAAACTCGTTAAACACCCGCAGTAAAATCTAAAACCAACTGTTTGCTGTTTAGATCCAAATTATAGCCCCGGTGGCATCTGAGCCATCCCGAACTAAAACACGAGCGCCACATAGAACGGGCTGGTCCTCACTGGACCAGCTGTGTCCAGAGGTTTGCATGGGACATTTTTGTAAGTTTTAATTCATTCAAATATTTCCCCAATTTCTCTCTGGTCTAAGCACGTGTAAACACCATTATTTCCAGTTTGGTTTTCTTTTAGCGTTTTAAAAGCAAATTGGACTCTCGTCGGAAGCTTTACGCGTAAACACGTGTTAAAAAAAACGAGGTCCAGATTGTTGTTCTGACCTCAGACACGTGGAAGGTGGGCGGGCTATAGCTCAGACGTGTCGTTAATATTCAATTAGTGAAAGAAAGCGTCTAACCTCGCCTGACCCCGGAGGATGAAGCAGTAAAACATCCAGCGTGACAGACAGACAGCAGCTCTCCGGCTCCTTCCAGCCCGGGGCCAGAAGCTACTACCCCCCGCATGGGGCTGGGCGCATGAGACGTGGAGTGGAGAGACACTGCGGGTAAAGATGTGAGGACCACGCCTGGTTGGAGGGGTTTGGGCTGCAGGGCGAAGCGGCTCCGTTCACCTGAAGCTGCAGCGTAAAAAAACACAAACTCAGCTGCATCCCGTGTTAAATTGTGCATTTAATGAGAAAGAGTGTGACCGTGATGACCACGAACAACCAGGTCAGAGTTCACGCTTTTAAGTCTCACACGTGGCCAATAAACCCGAGGACGCATGATGGATGAAGAGGCTGCTTTGTTTCACCAACATCATTTCCTTCAGAGATGAAGATCCCAGTGAATTAAAAAGATAATTATTGGTTTGGTTC